CCGGCCCGGCGGACGCGGCGCCCTCGCCGCCCTCCACGCCCGCCTCGCCCGCCGCGCCCTCCCGCGCCTCTCCGAGCGACACGGGCTCCTCGAGTACGCCCTCCCGCTCCCCGGAGACCCCGACGGAGGCCCCGGCCCACCCCCGGGCGCCGACACCGACTGGCTCCTCGAGGCCGCCGACCGCGCCCGCAGCGCCCGCACCGACGCCGGGGACCCCAGTGCCCTCGCCCACGCCGCCTGCCCGCGACGCGTCCTCAGCGCCGGCAAGGGGAAGCTGCCCTGGGAGAGCCACCAGCAGCACCTGCAGCAGCAGCGGGGAGAACCGGTGAGTGGGCCTTGCGACTGGGGGGCAAAGCGCTGGACCCCCTCCAGAGTGGGGTGGAAACCCGGGAGGCCACCTAAGGACGTCAGACCCAGGCGGTCCATGGGAACCTAAGAGAAGACCCTGTTGGGTCAGGCCAGCGGCCCCTCCACTCCAACACTCTGTGTCACACGGGGGGCCCAAAAAGCACCAGGTGGTGCCGTCAGGAGAGGTCCTACACAGGCCATCTACTCCAGATGTCTTCCCACCCTTGCCCCCAAGCACCAAGGGGACAGAGCATCACGTGCCCCAGACGTAAGAACCTAAGAGAAGACCGTGTTGGGTCAGGCCAGTGGCCCATCCAACACTCTGTGTCACACGGGGCCCACAAAGCACCAGGTGGTGCCATCAGGAGGTCCAGCAGTGGGGCCAGGGCACTAGGAGCCTCCTCCCACTGTTGCCCCCCCTCCCAAGCACCAAGTACATAAGAGAAGACAGTGTTGGGTCAGGCCAGTGGCCCATCCAGGCCAACACCCTGTGTCACATGGGGGCCAAAAGCACCAGGTGGTGCCATCAGGAGAGGTCCTGCACTGGGGCCATCTACTCCAGCATCCCATCTCACACAGCGGCCAGCCAATTACCAAAGAAGGCCAACAACAGGGCACAGAGGCTGTGGCCTTCATAAGAACATCAAAAGAGCCCTGCTGGATCAGACCATTGAGCGTCCATCCAGTCCAGCATCCTGTCACACACAGTGGCTACGCAGTTCCCCTGGAAGTTCAACAACAAGGCAGAGAGGCCGAGGCCTTCCCCTGATAAGAAGAAGAGCCCTGCTGGATCAGACCAGTGAGGGTTCATCTAGTCCAGCCTCCTGTCCCACACAGGGGCCAGCCAGTTCCTCTGGACAGCCAACAACAGAGCATAGAGGCTGAGCTTTTCATAAGATCATGAGGAGGGTCCTGCTGGATCAGACCAGTGGTCCATCTAGTCCAGCATCCCATCTCACACAGTGGCCAACCAGTTCAACAACAGGGCACAGAGACTGAGACCTTTCCCTGATGTTGCCTCCCGGTGCTGGGGTTCAGAGGCTTAGTGCCTCTGAACGTGCAGGTCCCCTTGCTCCGTAAATTAGATTACATTGTGCTAGTGCCAGGTGCCTGCAAAGGTTGTGTTTATATGCCTCTAGTAGGCGTGTAGTCTAGCAAACAACTTGGCAAGTTACAAGTTCAAGATAAGATAATGCTGTTTTGTCCTCCAGGTGCTGGATCTAATCATCTTCTGAAGGCAGGTTGCATTTCAGACATGCTTGAGCTTACTAGGAAACCTCTACCCTGTTCAGGTTTTTGTTAGCTTACCTGTCCACATATGGGCATACCAATTACATAGGCCCTGGACAGAAGACAAGGGGGTAGAGGAAAGACATGCATGTTTATTTCGCCCAGAGCTTGAATTTTTATTCTCTTGGTGGCCATGGTTTCTTGGCACACAGGAAATCAGCTGTGCTTTTGCTTTGAGGGTCTCAGGTGGGCAGCCTATTGTGCAGATAGGTGTGTTCCCTTCTCCTGGTCCTGCACAGGAGTTACTTCTGTTATGTTCTGGAGGCGAGATGGTGAGGCTCTCTTACTGCCTCATTGCTTCACAGGTTCTTATTGCAAATGCGTTTGAATGAGCTCAAGATCGCAGGCTCGAGTTCAGAGCTGAATTTTGTTCATGTCTGTGAATTTTTTGGCATAGGAGGAATTTAAGCTCTGTGGATCTGAGCAAATCTAGAATTCATTTTATTTTTATTTTATTTGTACCTGATTTTTTCCCCAGTGGGGGGGGGGACCCAAATCAACTCATCTTGTTGTCTTCTGTATGTTATCCTCACAACAGCTCTGTAAAGTGAGTTATGCTGAGTCGGTGTGAGTAGTCCAAGGTCACCCAGCAGGTTTCAGTGATGGGGTGGGGATTCGAACCTGCATCTCTCAGATCCTAAGCTGGCACTGGCGACTACACCACAGTGACTGTCAGATGTAGCCTGTTACTTATCTTTTTTTTTTTTTGCTGTTGAGTAGTTGCCATTAATAAGTGTAGAATCTTAAACTGTAATCCCTTATCTACTGAATATTCTTCCTGGTGTCACAAGCCTGTAAATTTAATCTGAGGCTGTTTGTTCTGCTTCTCAGTTGCATTCTCTTTGCCTCATGTCCAGTGCCTGTAAGCTGTGGAGTCTTGTGAGCAAAAATTAAAGTTTTGAGCGAGCAGTTTGGCTACTGCATGAATTAGTTTGCTTTGGAGCTATCCTTCTTGAGCTAAGACAAAAAATGTCCCTGAGCTGGAGGCTAAAAACTGTGAGCTAGCTCACACTAACTCAGCTTAGAGTGAACACTGCTCACGTCATACAAGATGTTCTGCAGTTTTGTATCAAAAATCCCAAATTCTTCCCTTTAGGTTGAAGTTACACAAGTAGGGAGGTCTGCTTATATTTGCATCATTGTCACAGAATAGCAGCTGGGGGTGGGGGAATTTGGACCTGTGTGTGAGTAGCTGGGAAAAGAGGAGGGATTCCTGGGGTCACAGTCTCAGGTCATTATCTACGTTCCACTGCACTTTTCAGCAACTGAAGCCCTTGCCCATCCTCCTTTCACCAACAGTTTGCCAGTACATGCCTTTGTATTAACAAAAACTGCCACGTTCTGGTGGTTCTTGACCTTCTGTGCTCTAATGCAGCTCAGAAGAGCCCTGCTGGAACAGACCAAAGCTCCATCTAGTGCAGCATTCTCCAGGAAGCCCACGAGTGAGGTATGAAGACAGCAGACTGTCTCTACCCCTCTCTGTTCCCAAGTTCTTGGCCCTCAGAGACTCCCTGCCCTGGGCCATTTTCAGCCACTGCAGCTAATTGTCCATGAATGTGTCTCATCCCCACTGGGGCTTCTGGGTCGAGACAGGCAGGTGGCATGAAAAGGCAGGGTTCTCCTCTCCCAGCAGGGTCAAGCATCCTAAGAGCATAAGAAAAGCTATGCTGGTTCAGACAGACCAAAGGCCTATCAAAACATTAAGAAGAGTCCTGCTGGATCAGACCAGCGGTCCATCTAGGCCAGCATCGTGTCTCACACAGCAGCCAACCAGGGGCATAGAGGCATGACTGTGGCCGCTTTGCAGAGTTTGTTTCCCAGCACACATCAAGGAAGTTGAAGTCACCCATAACTACCAGGTCATGTTGTTTGGATACCCTGTCAAGCTGTTCCAGGAGGGCAGCATCCACCTCCTCATCCTGGTCAGGAGGTCCGTAGCAGAGTCCAACCTCTATACTGTTTGTCCTTCCTTCCCTTGTCCTCACCCAGGTACTTTCCACTGGTCTGCCGCCTTCTCACATACAGCACCACTCCGCCTCCTCTTCGACACTTTGGGTTTTTCTTGAACAACTCATGTCCGTCCACTATTATGTCCCAATCCTGGGAATTCTCCCACCAAGTCTCTGTAAATATCCATTGTGGTTAGTAGCCACTGATAACCCCATCTTCCATGAATTTGTCCACTCCCCTTTTAAAGCCTTCTGTCAGCTTGCTGCCATAGAGGCTGGTGTGTGTGGGGGCGCAATGTTCCCTCTAAGCTGTTGAGTCTTGTGAGCAGAAATTCTACTTTGTGAGCTACTGGCATTAAAATTGTGAGCAAGCAATTTATCTACTGCATAAATTAGTTTGCTCTGTAGCCATCCTTCCTGAGCTAAGACAAAAATGTGTGAGACGGAGGCTAAAAAACTGTGAGCTGGCTCACACTAACTCAGCTTAAAGGGAACACTGGTGGGGGGGCTGCTTGGAATGTTTTCGTTTCTGTTCTCTGGCTGTCTTGGTGTTTCACCCTTTTCTATATGTTTTATGTGCCTGACCTTGGGTCCTAGCTGTAACATCATCTCTGGGAACTCACAGTTACACTCTGGCAGGTCTTTTGCCTTGATTGGCTCCATGCCGCCCAGTGACCCCTTTGAACTGTGTATATCCGCCCACCCCGTGCTTTTTGCTTTAGTCTTAACACAGATCGTGAAGTAGAGATGCCCTGCCAATACTGTATCAATAAACTTTCCTTCTGAAGAAGGGAGTCGTTGATTCTGATTGGTGCAGGAGTCTGACACCAAGTTGGTGGCCATCACCTACTTCAGTTGACAGTGAATTCCAGAGTACAGCTGTGCATTGTGTGAGGAAGTTTTTCCTTCTGCAATTTTGCTGGGCTTCAGGGCCCAGATACTGCTAGGCAGCATTGCCCTGTGGTCCTGCTCTTCAGGCCGCTGTGTGCAAACCGGACTGTGGCCATCCTCCGCCACTCCAGGTCCCGGGTTCAGTCCCTGGCATCTTTAGTTAGAAAGGGCTGGGTGGTAGGTGATGTGAAAGGCCTCCGCCGGAGACCCCGGAGAGCCTCTGCCAGTTTGAGTGGACAATAGTGACCCTGGTGGACCAAGGGTCTGATTCAGTATAAGGCAGCTTCATGTGTGTGTTGAAGGCAATCCTTCGAAAGCCTCTTCACCCAGCTTTACAGTATGGGATGTAACACTGTTGTTGTGCACATTCGTACCCCCTGTGCCAGCTGAGTGTGTTTCAGATCTGTGTAAGAAAGAAGCTGTGTGTGTTTGTGTGTGTGTGTGAGCGGCACTATCGAGAAAGGGATTTTCATTGTATGTTCATTTAACTTTTATTGTGTTTTACTGATTATGGTATTGAATGATCTTTTAACGTATTTGTACACCTCCTTGAGCACATTTTAGTTGAACTGAACTAAGTGATAGGGAGCCAGGCAATTGGAACTGTGCTTCATCACAGGATAATTGTTAATAATGACATCTGTTTCCTAAATGTGGAAGTTGGCATGTTGATTCCCATGGGAATGTAACAGCCTGCTAAGTATAAAAAGTGTAAAATGTTGACTCTTGCGGCCAAAAGTGCTTTCCTGGAGTGCCGGAGGAAACAGATGTCATTACTAATATTTGCAGGCACTAGATACACATAATTTTTGGAAATTTTGAAGCTACAGAAAATAATCAACCCCTCCTCCACCACCTGGGGGAAAAAAGGAAAAACTGGAGTGTACGCAATACTCTTTTTGTGTTGTTGTTGAACCTAAACATCCTCTACTGATTTAATAACAAAAATGCTTCTTTTATAACTTGGGTAGCATATATAATTATATTATTTGGAATATTTATGGAATGCCAAGGTATTAATATTTTTGTTATGCATAGACGTGTGTGTATGTATACACACACACACATATATATATCTGCAGATTTATCCAGTACTTGAGAATGAGTTGCAAACTGTGACACCTTATGCTACCGTACCGCATGTATCTTCTTCTTATCTCAGAGATACAAAAAAAATGTAGAAAAAAAGTTCTGTAATAAACAAAAGAAAGTGTTATTTGGGTAGAAGCATTCTCTTACAGTCACCATAGGTAGAATTAGATAAACATACGGAGCAGAGGTCCATCAGTGGCTATTAGCCACAAGGTGTAGATAGGAACTCTCAGTCTGGGGCAAGGGATGCTCTGTCTTCTTGGTGCTTGGGGGGGGCAACAGTGGGGGGGCTTCTAGTGTCCTGGCCCCACTGCTGGACCTCCTGGGGGCACCTGGTATTTTTGTCCACTGTGTGACACAGAGTGTGGGACTGGATGGGCCACTGGCCTGATCCAACATTGGCTTCTCTTATGTTCTTACGTTAAGAGCAGAGGTCCATCAGTGGCTATTAGCCACAAGGTGTAGATAGGAACTCTCAGTCTGGGGCAAGTGATGCTCGGTCTTCTTGGTGCTTGGGTTGGGGGCAACAGAGGGAGGGCTCCTAGTGTCCTGGCCCCACTGCTGGACCTCCTGAGGGCACCTGGTATTTTTGGCCACTGTGTGACACAGAGTGTGGGACTGGATGGGCCACTGGCCTGATCCATCACTGGCTTCTCTTATGCTCTTATGAACTATCCCCCAAATGTCCCACTTATTCTTTTGGAAAACCTGACCCTCCCCCCCACACATTTCCCTGGTTTCCCTAGGCCTTCAGTCTCTGTCCAACAAACACTCCCTGACCGAGTAGGATAAATCTTATCTTTTGCCTGTGTTTATTGGGCCAGCTGGCTAATTGAAAGGAAGTTGTAAGGGCTGGGTAATTTTCTCAGGGTCTGAAACTGATTTCTGGAGTAATGGGGGGAAACAGATGTAATTATTAATTTTCAGTGCATTCCGATGAGTTCGCCTTGTTACAAATTAACCCAAAGTGGCTGAAGGTATTTATGGCATCAGCAAATTGGTAACAGTAGTGAAAGTTGAGAGGAGAAGGGAGATCTTCTTTGACTAACGTGCAGCAGATCTCCATTTCCACTGGTGGTCAACTCACAAATGTGGAGCAGGAGAGTGGAAAATAGACACTGCTCATTTGATATATTTATTTAGAAAATGCATGTGCTGTTTCTCCAGAGAACCTATTGACGCACATGCAGAGATGGCACACGCATAGGTGAATCCCAACCAGGTTACAATCGTCAGCTAATGACTTTAACCATTCGTCTGAAGGCCAGAAAGTCCCCAGATGCAAGGGTGGATGTGGACAATTGCTGTCTTTCAGTGTTTTCCCTTTTGTGTTCCTCTTGCAGTTCTCGACATCAAACGATTTCTTCCATTCTCCAAGACTGAGGCCTTCTCAGGGTAAGCCAGCGGAGCGCGAAGTGCGGAATGCATGTGCGGCCCCCAGGGGTGCTGCTCTTGGCCATGCTTCTGGGAGGGAGTGTGACGGAGCGCGAAGGAGAAGGTGCCCTCTTCTCCAAGCTTGCCTCTTAGGGGGAGGCTGTCTCTCAGCAGTTTAATGGAGTCAAACAGGAGTCGCTCATGCCGTCTCTTGCAGTCCAAGCTGAGACCAGCTCCCCCCCCCAATCCTTTGCTCAGGCTTTTGCCTGCTGCTGTGTGGCAAGCAGAGTGGATGAAAAAAGGGGCTCATGCCCCACCAGGTGCCAAGAGGGGAGAGACCGAGCACCAGACGCTCACCTTTCTCCTACCTGCTGCTCCTGTGCAAATGACTGGGGAGGGTCCAAATAGGAATCTCCAGTCAGTCTGTTTCCTGCTGCCTGCTTGCTTCTGGAGGAGTCAGTCCAAATGGCCTTGCATGGAGCAAAAATCTTGGGGGGGGGCTTGGGATCACCCCCTGCCGGCTAACTGGCTAGCACGGTATGACGCTCATCCAGGGCAGCGGAGAGACCTTCAGGGCATTCGGGGTGCCTCAATCCCCCGGCAACACACCGGCGGAGAGGCAACCCTCGGCACCCCATGGCTTGGAGCCCTTCTGAGGGCCCCTGGGGGTGCGTACGATCGCACCCTCTCTCAATCCACTGGTTCACAGATCATGTCGTCGGGAGCGCCCGAGAGACACATCCACCATTGTGTCGCCAAAACCGGAAGCCCGCCCCCCAAATGAACAAAATTTCTGAACGCTTCAGTAGTATTAGTAGTAAAATCATAATAATAACAATAAAGTGCTGTCAAGTTGTGATTGACATTTGGTGACCCCTCATGGAGTTTTCAAGGCAAGAGAATGTTCCAAGGTGGCTTACTATCGCCTGCCTCTGTAGCAACCCTGGACCTCCTTAGTGGTCTCCCATTCAATTACTAACAAAGACCAACCCTGCTTAGCTTTCCTCACTTTGACAAGCTTAGGCTAATCTGGGTTTAGAGGCAAGTGTTTTACTGGCCGCGTAACCTTGACCTTTTTTAGTACAACCTGGATTGTGCACCTTGATTAGCCTCCTTGGTTGTTCACTGACTGATCGATCAGCAAGGATATGCATTTCCTTCACTGAATTTGAATGTCAAGATAGCCTCTGTGCTCCGTGACTGAAGATCTTGCAACACACGCGGTGAAGGGCACCGGGCATTTCGGATCCATTGTGCTTACCTCCGTAGCGGAGGTCTAGTCTGCTCGGCATGCACCTCTGCTCAAAGACGGATTTCGCTCCTGACAGGTGTGCCCTAACTTTGGTTGTCTGCATCGCTTCTACCTGAGCTGTCCAGTTTCTGGGTGAAAAGTTCAGATGCTAATGAACCCAGAAGTATTGCAGCCCCGTGTGAGGTCTGGCCACGCATGGATACTCAGCGGCCTTCCGAGAGACTCCTCCACTCCACACATGCCCCCCCCCGGAATTTCCCCCGGAGCAAACAATCACCCATTCAACCTGTTTCCAAGAGGAGGCAGCTGGGGTCACTGCATTGACCACACAACCAAGAAGAATGTGTCAGTCCTTGGCTGGTTATATTATCCAAACATTTTTTTATCTTTTGGCACAAAGCCATCTGGAGTTTTTGCAAACTCCAGAAATGAGCTTGGGGGCTACCAAATGATGGTGGTAGGGATGGTGCAGAGCCAGCTGCTTTAACGGGGTTACTTTGTGCAGAAACAGCAGTTGTGGTTGTCGTAGAAACCGAGCAACGAGACCCTTTCAGGAAAAGAAGAAGAAGAAGAGATTGGATTTATACTCCTCCCTTCACTACTCAAGGGAGTCTAAGAGCGGCTTACAAACTCCTTCCCCTCCCCACAACAGACACCCCCTGTGAGGTGGGTGGGGCTGAGAGAGCTCTTGACAGAAACGGCTCTTTTTCAAGGACAGCTCTTATCAGAACTATGGCTTGCCCAAGGTCATCCAGCCAGGTGCAAGTGGAGGAGGAGTGGGAGAATCAAACCCGGTTCTCCCAGATTAGAGTCCATGCACTTAACCACGACACCAAAAGTGCTGGATTCCCGATGAACCAAGCACCCCAAGTGGTTGTGCTCATGTGGCAGCGGTTTGGTGCTTCTGTCCGCTCCCTGTTCTCAAAAATCCACAGGCAAGGTTGTGGACTCCCGGAGAAGACAGTACTGACCTCAATATACCAGTTGTCTGACTTCGTATGTTCATATGGAGATGTCAAGAATCGGTGTGTGTGTGTGGGGGGGACCCTGACCGGGGTAGCCCAGGCAAGCCCAATCTAGTCAGACTCTGGGCCGACACCGGCAAGTACTTGCATGGGAGACCTCCTTGGAATACCAGCAGTCGGGAGATGGGGGCAGGCTTTGTTCAGCCCCCTCTCTGAATACCTTCCAGGCTCCCAGTAGGGGACAGTCTCCAGAGGTCACCATGACTTCCCAGGTGCACACTCACACTCACATACACATATTAAAAAAATACACACACACACCCATGAATTGGGGCAGGGGGGTCCTGCTTGCAGAGGACATACCGTATCATTGAGCCACAGTCCTCTCTGTCTTTGGTCAGTCCTGTGTAATATTTGACACCAGTGAGTTGGAAAATCACGGTGGCGGGGGTTGCCCCAGGGTCGTTTGGGAGCACACGTTGTTGGTGGTTGACAGGAAGCTGGTGTGGCGTCTGCATCGGGCCCTACACTTGAGAAAGGAATCCTTAGAGAATTTAGACTTGTCAACCCATTTTTGAAAGGCTGTAGAAACTCAGTGGCTTCTAAAACAAAGCTCCTTTCTTGCTTTAATAAGTCACCAGCCCTAATCCTTCCTGCCCCCCCTCCCCCCCGAGAATAGTGAAAAGGCCCGTGGAAAGATTGGGACAAGCCCGGGCATGCTGTGTTCCCTTCCATTGGCACCTTGTCGTGTTCGTTCAGCAGTGTGCCTGTTTGGCGGACTATTTGAAGCACCCTGCTTAGAAAAAGAGTATCTGATTTCCTTTAGCGCTGCATATTTTAAAAAGTTGTGTTTTGATGCGTATCTTGCCCTGTTGTAGTTAGATTAGAGCAGGAGGCATTTACGGGCAGCTCCTGTGTCGCTCCTGATAGGCCTTGGCACTGCCAGCTTCCCTGCCTCTTGCCAGCTGCTTTATTCTGCCCCATGAACACGAAGAAAGCTGACTGAACAGTTGCCCAGGGGATCCTTGGCACGCAACCCCTTGGTGGTAGGAGGGTGCCAAGACATCACTTCTCCCCCCCCAAAAAAAAAACACCCAAAAAAGGGTGAGAAATTCCTAAGACAGAGATGGGCGTCTCTCTCTTTTTCCTTAATAAACCCGTTAGAAATCTGTTGCTCCAAGCAGCACAAGGAAACTTGCTTGACAGGTCCTCCTTCTGTGTTTGAAAGGTGCGATGGCCTCTCACCAGCCTCCGCTGTCGGGAAAACACGGGCTGCTGAGCTTCTGCGGAAAGAGCGGCAGCGTAGATTCCGACTTGCAGTTCCTCGGTCTGAGTAACCACCGGCACGAGACAGGTACCTGAAGAACTCCTGCCTGGGGAGGCTCTGCACGCGTTGAGCCCCCTGCCCCAGTAGGTGCAGCACACTTTGAGCCAGGGGAGGGGTCCAGCTGGTACAGGGAGTTGGAAAGAGGTGGCCAGTGTGAGCTCAGCTAGCCTGAAAGTGGGTGGCTTTGGAAGTTCTCCAGCAGAATGCTTTCAAGAGGGAATGCTTCAAGAGGGGATTGGATGCTTTCAGGAGGGAATGCTCCAAGAGGGAACTGGACAAACAGCTGGAGGAGAGGTCCATCAGTGGCTATTAGCTACAAGGTATAGATAGGAACTCTCGGTCTGGGGTAGTGTTTCCTCTAAGCTGAGTTAGTGTGAGCTAGCTCACAGTTTTTTAGCCTCCAGCTCACCCATTTTTGTCTTAGCTCAGGAAGGCTGGCTCCAGAGCAAACGGTAGCCAAATTGCTTGCTCACAGCTTTAATGCTAGTAGCTCACCAAGTAGAATTTTTGCTCACAAGACTTCACAGCTTAGAGGGAACATTGCAAGTCATGCTCTGTATTCTTGGTGCTGGGGGGGGGCAACAGTGGGAGGGCTCCTAGTGTCCTGGCCCCACTGGTGGACCTCCTGATGGCACCTGGTATTTCTGGCCACTGTGTGACACAGAGTGTTGGACTGGATGGGCCATTGGCCTGATCCAACACTGGCTTCTCTTCTTATGTTGAGAGCAGAGGTCCATCAGTGGCTATTAGCCGCAAGGGATAGAGAGGAACTCTCGGTCTGGGGCAAGGGATGCTCTGTCTTCTTGGTGCTTGGGGGGGGCAACAGTGGGAGGGCTCCTAGTGTCCTGGCCCCACTGCTGGACCTCCTGAGGGCACCTGGTATTTTTGGATACTGTGTGACACAGAGTGTTGGACTGGATGGGCCATTGGCCTGATCCAACATTGGCTTCTCTTATGTTCTTATGTTTCACTGCCGGAGGCACCCTGGATTGGTCTTGTGCAAAGCGCAGTGCCATAGAATTATAAAAATAATAGGACCCATCATTTGCAAAGCCAAAGTGCTCTCTTGGGGATTGAAGCCAGAAGGGGCAGGTCTTCGGTTTAGCACAGTTATGGACTCTTCTCCCTGCCCTCAGCAAATGCACATCCAGATGCACCTCTCCTCCCTCCCTTGGAAAGGCGCTCGCAAGTGAGGGAGCTCTGTCACCCCCCCATGAAGCATCAGGGTCAATTTGCTGGCTTTTCTCTAAGAAGCAAGCCTTCTGATGGCGACTGAAGACGCAGGAAGTTATCCGATAACTTCCTGCTAGCCAGAGCTTCAGCACTTGTCACTCAGCCGTGTTGGCTCTGATTGGCAATGGCTGTCTGGATATCCTCGCACCTGCTGGAATTGCTGGGGGTTCAACCTGAGACACGGGCTCTGCTGTTGAGTGACAGCCCTTCCCTCCTGGGCCAGCCCAGGGATTCTGGGAAGAGAGTCAAATACAAATACAAATACAATACCTTTATTGGCATAAAATATCAAATACACATGCAGCAGAGCCTCAAGATAGGCTGGAGGGGTATCACATTCCGAATTGCCTTAAGATGAGCCTCTCCTCCTAGTTACCTCATAAAAATTTTTTGCTACAGGTTCCAGAATTTCTATATTATGCGAAGACAATAAAGAACTAATTTTATGCTCATCAGATTGGCCCAAAAGGGGGTGCAACACAGGTTCAATATAAACAACACGGATGTCATAGTGTAATTTACAGTGCAATAGCACATGTCCAATGGATTCAATTTCCCCCATCCCACAGGGGCACAATCTATCTTTATAGGGAATTTTCTTGAACCTTCCCGATAGAACAGCTGAGGGAAGGACGTCGAACCGTGCTAGCATGAAAGCCCTACGAAGATGGGGCTGAATCAGTTTTGCCAGGTATCCTGATGAAATGTGGCTAAAAGAAAGTCCCATACTCATGGGAGAGCAATGTCTGTGCGCCAGTCTTCTCAGATCTTGCACCTCTATATCAAGGAGTCTTTGTTTGAGTAAGGCAAAAGCCTTCTGCTCAGACAAAAGTACCAAGTCATCAAAACTAAAGCCGATTATAGAAATTTTTTTCTCTATATTAATCAACCAAGTCGATAGATGGGATTCAGATAACATGTGCACCACAAGACTGTTTGGGCCACATCTAAAATGAAGGCGCAGCCAAAATTTGAAGGTTATGGTCCATGCCATCGTAATTAACCGTCCTCAGATACCTGAACAGAGGCTGAGTCCAAGTGGCACCTTGAAGACCAACCAAGTTTAATTCTGGGTAGAAGCTTTCGTGTGCCATGCACACTTCCCCAGATCCCTGAACAAAAGTGAAGTCCAGTGGCACCCTTAAGACCAACCAGGTTTCATTCTGGGTATAAGCTTTTGTGCACACGTGCACTTGATCAGATATCTGATGTAGCATGCACAGGAAAGCTTATAACCAGAATTAAAACTTTACTGGCCTTAAAGGTGGCACCGGAGTCACACTTTGTTCTGCCACTTCGGACCAACACGGCTCCCCCCCCCCCCGGAAAACACACCAACTGCTGCGTTAGTGTGAGCCAGTTCTTTAGCCTCCGGCTCACACATTTTTGTCTCCGCTCAGGAAGGATGGGGCTCCAGAGCAAACTAATTTATGCAGTCGCCAAATCGCTGGCTCGGAACTTTAATGCCGGTAGATCACAAAGTTGAATTTTTGCTCACAAGACTCCACA